ATAATGGGCCCTACCTGATAACACCTCAATTTCACACAGCATCCCCAGACTTGCTGTGTAGGGAATGCTGTTGCAGAATGGCTGCCACACTTCTAACTGGTGGGTGCTGCACTTCAGCAGTGAATGGAATCCTTCAGGATGAAAAGTATTGTACACCTGCAAACAATTGTTATTGTTATTGTACTCTTTATACAGTAGACATTATTATTAATAATAATGTTTTTCATTGAAGGGTGGCACAATGGCACAACAGTTAGCATCAATCCAGGGTTAAATCTAGGTCTGTGGTGCTAGATGTGCAGAGTTTGTTTGTTCTCCCCATGTTTTCTTCAGGTGCTCAGTTTCCTCTCACAGTCCAAAGACAAATTGGTAGCTTGACAGGCTTCTGGGAAAACTGGCCGTGGTGTGAGTGTGTGCGTGTACAGTATATGTGTGTGCCCTATGATAGACATCCAGGGTGTTTCCTGTGTTGGACCCGTTGCTTGCTGGGATAGGATCAGCTTTCTTTGTGACCCATTACTGAATCAAGTGGCTAGAAAATGGATGGATAGATTTAACTGAAACAAAACAAACACGTTTTAAACATTTCTGTTTAACACTGAATGCAGTTTGGTCTACAGTACTGTATGTGCTTAGACAAAATCTCATTTTAAATCACAGTCTCAATTATATGTTGGTTTTTGAACATATGATTAGAATGTATTTAATTAGCAGGTTTCAGCAGGCAGTGGTTAGACAGTAGGGAAAGAGCTTTTGAAACAAACGCACATGCAATTATGTTTGTTTTAAATTTATTTTATTATCTGTAGTTGTTACAGTACTTGAAGAACCCGCATAGTGTACAGGAGAGTTACAAAGGTATCCGTAACTATTCAAATATGTATCACTGTACCTCATTGACTTTGACTCTGCAGAGCTGCAATTTATTTAAAAATAGCAGTACATTTAAATGTGATTTGCAATTCACATTTTTCTTTATATTCACACTAACATTACAATGGAAAAAGCTAGCATGTACAGTAAATGAATGCATTGAAATGCTGACTTGTATTGAAATAAACAAATCCTTTCACTCTGGTACGTCATTTATTTCATGAAAGTAATATTATAAATGAATGAGAAAGAACTATAAAGTCCTTTTCAGATTCTCTCTGGTTAAGGTGTGATGTGAAAGGGAATTGTGGGATATAAATGCTTTGAATGGTCATAAAAAGTAACGATAAAAATACATTTGAATTTAATGAAGAACAAAAAGCAAGCCATATTACAGTCCAGGTGCTGTAGAAGAAATTTCAGTATGTGTTAGTCTACAGCTGTGACAAACTGCTTTTACGGTGTTTTTAAGAGAACTGAATTCCACATGTGCAGTCAAACAAAAGAACAGAAACATTCAAAAATTTGAATCTTAATTTCAGTGTTTATTTGCTCAGCAGATGCTCTTATTTCTGACAGATTTCATACAGGTAGTTTGCAAAAATATACTACAGGTGAGGGCAATGTTTATACAGAAGAACAATTTTATATTTTTTACATTAAAAACAATGCGATTGCAATTACTGTGTCAAAGGTAAGAGATTATATCACTGTGGAATGAAAAATTGTTTTGTAGATTCAGGATAAAGTGCAATAGCAAAGCTGCACAAATTAATTTGTCAGCATTAAAATGACAGTGACTTTGGGTGTACCTGTACTGTTTAATTCTCAAATGGAAGATCACCAACAGGCACTCATCTTTATCAGTCAGCATGATCTGAAAGAGAGTTATATTGGTTTACTTCAGGAACAGCACTTCTCAGATAGCTGCATTTATATATTTCATTTTTAGGTCTCCTTACTTATGGAAGACCTTTTACTCTTTTAAAATATTCAACTATGATTTCATAATTAGAATAACCTGACAACTAAACTCTTACTAGGAAACTGAAAGCCAGTAATTATTTCACGCAACTCCAATTTTAAGCTTTTTAGACAACTCCCAAGTATAAAGTAAACCTCCTAGGATTTATTTGATTCTCAAGTAGAAAATGTATGTGAATTGATGGAACGTTGGCCTATTGTCTTATCAATTAATTAATTTGGAAAAATGGATTAAGTTAAAAAGTCAGAATGTCTATATGTAGAATGTTCATTTTTAATAAAGCATATTTCATATAATAGAACATTATTTATAATGTTCAATATATAAATAATAGTTATATCAATATTCGCTTTAAATCAAGAATGTTCATGATGAAAAACAGAAACAAAAATGATTTTATCATGTTATCCTTATTATTATTTTTCTTGGGTTGCGATGCAGTGGTCAGCATTGATGCCTCACAGCTCTGGGGCCCTGGGTTCAATTCCTGGGGTGATATCTGCATGGAGTTTGTATGTTCTTCCCACAGTTTCATGGCTTTTCTCTGATTGCTCTGGTTTCTTCCCATAATCCAAAGATATACTGGTAGACTAATTGGCTTCTCAGGAAATTATCCCTGGTGTGAGTGAGGGTGTGTTTGTATTTGTGTGTGCCCTGCGCCAAAATTGGCGTCCCATCCTGGTGTCCCATCCATGGTGTATCCTGCCTTGTGCCTGTTGTTTGCCACGACAGGCCCTGGCTCTCCTGCAATCCTGTATTTGATAAAGTGGTTAGAGAATGGATGGATGGATTATTGTTATTATTAACATGTGTAAAAAAATAAGATGCCTAAAAGAATCTTATTTTTCTATACCAGGCCTTAGAATTGTATAGTATTTGAATCTTAAGACACGCCGGCTCAGCTGCACATCAGGTATACTGTAGATCACTTACTGTACAATAATCTAAAAACAAAAGTTTGTCATCACCCTATGTTTTACATGATACTTGTGTTTAATTTATCCTTTTTCTTTGCTGGAAGGGTGTGTGTGGGGGGGTATTTGCAAAG